CCGGGAAGGATTTCAGATTTCAGAAAGCCCCAAGTGAAACCAGACTCCCACTTGCCCCTGGAGGCAGCCAAGCGGAGGCAGCTGGAGATCCAGCCGACGGAAGCCGCTGCGGGGGCCTCGGAGCACGGAGGCGGTCGAGGGGGACGATGCCGGCCAGGATGGGTAGCTGCGCCCCCTGGGCCGCCTGCCAAGCCCCGGCCGACCGGGAAGCTCTGATCTCGGCCAGGGCTGCTGCTCGGCACAGCCCAAAATGTCCAGCCGTGGCCGAGAAGTGGCAGGGCTGCCGCAGCCCCAAGGGCCCCGGGCTCGTGGCCCAGGGAGGGCGCCGTCTGCCCCACTGGCGGCCCTGCTCGGGGTGCCAGGGAGGGCTCCCGGCCGGCCTTCCTGCTGCGGAAAGCGCCCGTCCCCCAAGGCCTCACCCCTGGGAAGAGGGTCCCTCCGCACTTGCCCCGGGCGACGCACAGGCACGCCGGGGTGGGGCGTCTCGCAGGCCTGGCCCCCACGACCGGGACAGGTCAACACCACTCTGAGCAGCTGCGCATTTTGTCAATATTTGCACCCCTCCCTTCTGGAAAAGCCAAACATTTTCTTTTAAATGTCCTTGGTGACCACACAGGCCGTTTGCTCGCTCTCCGGGCACAGCCACATCGACCCAGAGCTAAATGTAAAGGAAAGCGGGAAAATGTGCTTGAAGAACACGATTCTGAGATCTTACTCGGTGTCTGGTTTCTTATTTTAATTCCTTTGGGTACACGCAGGATCCTTCCCAGGGCAGGCCGGCCGATCCCCTCGGCATAAAATCTCTTGGTCTCCCTCAGAGCAGGGGCCGGGCGGACGCATGCGCTCGACACTGCCACTTCCCCTCCAGAGGGACAAGAACCTGTTTTTACTTTGAGCAAGGAGGATGGCGAGGCAGGGGTCTCGCCACAGCCCCCTAAACTCAGCCTGCCCTCCCCGATTTGAGCAGCGGATAAAGCCCGAACTGGATTTTCAAGCTTAACCCAAATCACCCCACAGCAGATCTTATCGCCACCCATTCGGGCCCCTTTGCTAATCGCCTGCAGATGATTAACAGCGATCAGATCGCAATCACAGAGGAAGGTGGGAAGAGGGAAATTCCTCCAGGCCGCGCAGGGAGGGGCTAGCAGCCTGGGCAGCGGCCGGCCGGGCCGCGTACCCCAGAAGGGGCCCCCTTCCCGTCGGAAGAGCTGCCAGGACGGCAGGAGTGTATGCAGGGGGGCCCTTCCCGGGGCAGGCCGTGTTCGTCGTGGCGGCCGAGGCGCCGGCCACTAGTCCTCATGGCCATGTGGCCTCTGCTCTCAGAGCCAGGAGGGCACCATGGCCCCCATGCCCCCTTTCTGGGCTTCCACTGCTGGGGCACGGTTGGCTGCTGCGGTGCTCAGGTCCGACTCAGGCCTCTCCGGGGCTCTTGCAAAGCAACCACAAGCCGTGGCTCCAGGCAGCAGCGTCGAGGGGGCCACTCCCCCCAACTACTGCAGGCCGGGCTCTGTGGATGCTCGGGGGGGGGTCACAGGAGCCCCTGTGACCCAGGGGGCTGTGCTGCACATCTGCCCCTCCTGAGGCAGGCAGAGGGCTGGGCTGAACGCCTGCGGAGGTGCCCCCGGCCGGGCCCACGGGACACCGGGGCAGGGAGGGCTCCAAGTCCGGGCGCAGGAGTGGGACCCGAGCTGGTGTTCCGGCCGGACATCCCAGTGGGGCCCTGGCAGGGCCTGCCTGCCCCTCCCCGCAGCCAAGGGCCCCCCGCCCACTGGCAACCGCGCTGGGGGCAGCCCCTTTGGTGGGCCGGGAGGGCCCCCAACCCCTTGCCTCTGCACACCCAGCGCGCCTGCAGCCGCCAGCTGCCACGTCCCACCGCCCCCCCTCCCTGGGCCCGGACCCGGGCTGCCTGCTCCGCAGGTTCCTCTGACTAAGCAAACAGCCCCACGATAGCGGCTGCTGACCAGGCCCAGGGGGGGGGGCGCCGCTTGCAGGTGCCCCCAGAGAGGCCCCAACGCGGCTTGCGGTCACGCTTGCCCTTGAGCCGACGTCCCGCGGAGAGCGGGGATGCAGCCAGCTCCCCCCGCCCGCCTGCTCCCTGGCCCAGCCCTGCCTGCCCCTCAGCGGAGTCTGCCACGGGATTCAGCCCCACGGAGAGGCCTGCGTGCTCAGCAGGGGCCGGTGTGCACAAAAGGCCGAGCGCGGCAATCCACTGCATGGCGCCGGCGAGTCCAGTGGGATCGGGGCCCCTGGCAGGGCCCGGTGCAGATGAGAGGCCCGGCCTGCTCGGCAGACGGCCCAGAGGGCCCCCGGCTCCCCGGGCAGCTGCAGGCTGGGAGGGGCTCGGGGGACGACGCAGCACATGCCACTGGACCAGGCAAGCCGCCTCGTGCCGGGTTCCTGCCACCTCCTCCCCTAATCTCTGCCGACAGAGGGTCTGCGCCCCCCCATCCCGCGCCCAAAGCTCGCCGGCACTGTGGAAGGCGCTCGTCCCGCAACGGTCGCACTGGATTAGCATAGCGCCAGCTTTCTCTGGGCGGGCTGGCTGCTTCCCCACACATCTCCTGCCCCAGACCCATGGAAGCGTGGCCGCCCCAGACTGCCACCTGCCACTGCCGCACTCAACAGCGAAAGTGTCTGGCAGAGCACGCCGGGCTCCCGTGGGGCCAAAGCTCCACCGAACGTCCACAGAAACTAGAGAATTGCCCTTCCTGCCAACCTCAATGTTCTAGTCCTCATGGATGTGAAAATGCAGCCACCTGTGGAGAGTGCGTGCTGAAGGGCCAGGATGCAGAACAGGTCCTGCACCCCACCTTTCCCCCCAAGATTCTCAGGTGCTGCTTCCCCTCTGTACACCAATGAGGAACGGGGGGGGGGCACAGCTGGGAGCAGAGCAGAGGCTTTGCATGCAGAATGCCTCCAGCGCATTCCCCAACCTCTCCAAAGGGTCAGGTACCCACCAGGGGAGGGCAGTCAGCCCAGCCCTCGGAGAGACCCTCCCGCTCGCTCGCTCGCAGTGCAGCGCAACCTCGGCTCCTTTTCGGGGACTCGCATTCTGATTGCAGGTCATGGGCTTTTCTGCAGGACATGCAGGCTCATGCCCACCGGTCCGTACCAGGGGCACTTTTCCAAAGAGGGAAGTCTGGATACCAAGTTAGGAAAGGCGCAGAAATCAAGGGTTACCTACCTCCTGGTCAGCACAATGCACGTCTAGCAAGCTTGCATACAAATGCAGAGAGCAAATTTCTCCCTGCACCCCTTTAAGAGGAGGCTGGCGGTGGCATTTCAGAGCCCAGGTGGAACTGCCTGCAGCTGCCCACGTCCCACCTGTGAACACTGCCCAGAGGCCGCCCAAACCTGACTGAAAAGGCGAAAATAGAAAGCAACGCAGCAGCCGGGTCCCAGGCACTTGGCTAAGGGGGCTCTCTTTGGGCACAGGCTCTCCTCTCAGGAGCCCCATTCCTTGCGGGGGGAGAACGGCATGGAACCCACCAACCTCCAGCCAGAGGGAATGTCACCCGAGCGACCCGCAGTGGCAGGCTGGCAGCGGTAACCACCCCGTGCCCCCAGAGGCCCCCGGCCTTCCCAGGGTCTCCGAGCAACGGGGCCTTGTTCCATTTCCCACCCTCCAGCTCACACGCTGCCCGCAGAACCAACAGACTCTTCATTAAAGCCTCCAGTTCCCAGAGTTGCCCTGGGAACTAGAGAGCAGCCGTCCCGTCCGAGCCGGCGCTCCGCCACCACAAGGCTCGGCACCGGGTGCTCCCCCTCTGCCCCTCCAGCCAGCCCCTGGCTCCCAGGAGGCAGGGCCCTGCCGGGTGGGGGCGCTGTGGGGAGTGGCCCCAGCCAAGGAGGGCCTGCCCGTGTCCAGCAGCTGCTGCTCGTGGGTCCGTGGCAGTGGGGGGGACGGCACGGGTCCTCCAGGAAACGGCCAGCCCAAGAGGGCCGGGGCACCCGTCTGCCTGCGCCCCCCTTCCTCCGCCGCCTGGGCAGCAAGGAAGAAGAGGGCGTATGCTCCTCCGGGGGGGGGGCTCCTTCCCGCTGAAGCCAGGGCTTTTCGGGAAACAGCGCAGGCACCCGCCCTTCGCCCGCCTTGCAACTCGGAGCAGCCAAAACCCTTCCAAGCAATCTGTCATCTTCAAGCGCCTTCAAGCACAGATTTAGAACAGCCCTCCTGCTGGATCAAGTTGCCTGCTGAACCCCCTGCCCCCCCCCCCCGCTCAGAGGGAACACGGTGTGCAGGGAACAAAGCTGCCTGCGCCCCCCTACCCGGACAGCTCCTCTGCCCCCCCCCGCCTTCTTATCAGCGGATTCTGATCCAAGGGGCACCCTTGCAAAGCCCTGAAGTGCCGCGCAGATAAGGGAGGCGCGCTGGGCTGGCCCCGCAGCCGCATTCCTGCCGCGGAGACGGAGGCCCCGCCAAGCGCGGCCAGCGGCCTGGAACCAATTTACTCCCCTGCTCCGTGTTTTGGGGGGAGAACAGTGGGCCGCCTTTCCGGGCAATCGGTGCGGATCAGCTGCACCCTGGAGGGGGGCTGTTCCTCCCCGCTTGCCCCGTCCGCGCTTTCAGAAGGGCACCCCACCGCAGCACACCCTTCCCAGAGCTGGCCAGGCCGCAGACACGGCCAGCAGCCCACACCCTCTGGCGCAGCGAGCACGCCCCACGGCCCCAGCACGCTGCACCCACACGCAGGCCGCTGCCAAGCGGAAGGGAAAGGCGGCAAGAGCTGCGCCAAGGCCGAGCGGGGAGCCCCGTCCTGCCCCCGGGCCGGGCTCCCGCTCCCGGTCTCTGCCCCCTTCCCCTTGGTCATGCTGCTGAGCTGCGCAGAGTGCGTGAGAGCCTCTTCCGGCCTCGGACTGGCAGCAGACCCCAAAATCCAGGGCGAAGCCACCCCAGAGCCACGAGGAACGCCTGCTCCCCCAGGCTGCAAACCCCACAGGCCAAGCCCTCTGGCCAAACAAACCCCACACCGGCCTGCAAAGCTAAACTGCGATCCCTCCCCTCCTCGCCACCCCACGGCAGCCCCTTTGGCTTCCGCCCCCCACTCCACGCCCTCGGCCCCCTTACCTGGGTGACGCATCCAGGGTGACGGAGGCCAGTGAGCTGCCGAAGCGCCGTGTGTCCCAGAGGCGGACTTCGCGCTCCATCGTCTGGAAAAGTGGGGGTCATCACTGCCCGCCCGGAAAGGTCACCGTCTCTATCCCCCCCAGCCAGGGGCCTGCTCCTTTAAAGGACCAAGCCCACCAGAAAGGTCTCTGCCCGAGGAGCCTGCAATTTGCATCTAGATTCAGGTACAGGCGGGGAGCTGGGGACCCGGGAACGAGGGTCAGCGCATCTTGGCCAGAGGGAGGGCCGAGGGGCCTGGCTCTTGCGTGGTCAGCTTCGAGCCTTGAAATTCCACCAGCGTGGCGAAATGGAGCCCGGCACATGCTCTTGAGCCTGGCGGCGGGGCTCTCCCCCCACCTCACCCCAGCAGGGCCCGCTGGCCACAGGGCCCATCTGCCTCCAAGCACGAGCTGGGGCCCTCCGTACCTGACTGAATCCCACAGAAAGCAGGCAGCCTTCGGCGTTCACCCAGGTCAGCCGGGAGCCCTTCCCGTTCGCGTGAGCCACGACACTCTGCCAGGCAGAAGGGAGACCGTCGGGGGCTGCTCCGGGGCAGGCCGCCTCCTCGCAGGGGCCGCCTGGAAAGCGGCTGCCCACCCACCACGTCTGCCCCCCAAGATGGGGGATGCTGGTCTGGTAGCCCCCTCTGAGAAATCTCCTCACCAGGTATCCCCGGGATTAAATGCCAGAAGAGCTGCCCGGGGAGCGAACGGACATGAATGCCAGCAGGGCCCCGCAAACCAGGGCTGGGCGGCCCCTCAGAAGTGGGCACGCCGGGCAGCTTGAGAAAATGTGGGTCCTGAGCCCCCCCACAGGATGGACAGTGTGGCAGGCAGGGTGAGTCCCAAGGAAACCCTGCCCTCAGAAACTTGCTTCCGTAGCTGCCAGCGCATCCAAAACGCAGAGCAGGGACTCGGGCAAAGGGCTGTGACTTGGCAGGTGTGGGTTCGAGCCCCACTCAGCCACAAAGCCCACGGGAGGCTTCCAGGCCACTCACTCAGCCTGACCTACCTCACTGGGGGGTTGTTGTGAGGATAAAAGGAAACTGTGCACGCCACTTCACCCGTAGGACAAAGTGGAGGCCACCCTTCTGGATCAAGGGGAATCCACCCAAAACCACACAAGCCGCTGAGCCACTGGTGGCTCTGGGAAAGAGAACGTGGCTGGGACCCCGAGGCCCTGACTCGCAGAAGAGGCTCTTGGCTGCAGCCACGGCAAAAGGGAGGCTGCCAAGGGTCCCCGTGCATGAAACGCATGTGGGAAGGAGGCGAGTGCGAGCAGGAGGGCCGGCCGCACCCCTTCCTCTCCCCAAGCCCCCTCCAGCCGCTGTCTGAAGCCTGCGAGGGTGGGCGAGTTCCTCCATCCGCCCCCAAGCCGCTCCCGGAAGAGCCGGTGCCTGCCAGCGCAGCCAACAGACGCGTGCCAGAGCTCCGGAGGGCATTTCCATATTCCTCCCAGTGCTCCGCCGGCGGGCCAAGAACTCTGGCAGGCCCAGAGAGACCGGGGACCTTTGCGCTCCATGCCCCGGGTGGCTGCAGGGTGCGCAGCGCAAATGCCGGGGGCGGGGGGGAATGCCTGGTGCGGGGAAGCCCACAGGTGGAAACGCATCCCGGAGCACAGTGCGGGCCCTCCATACGCCCCCCCTGCGAAGGTGCCAGGTCTGGACAGGGGGGCGAAGGGCGACCCGGACCACTCGTCTTCCCGCAGGGCTGGCTGAGGCACTCGGCACCAACGCAGGAAGCCGGAGGGGCAAAGAGAACCGGACACGCTCCCTGCCCAGGAGCTGCAGACGTAAGGAGGGCTGGGGGGGGGGTCTCTCGGGAGCAGGACATGGAGGCCAAGGGAGCCCCTGCAGCCACAGGTTCCCCGCAACTCGGGCCCACCCCAGAGCTCAGACGGCCCCAGAGCAGCAGAGGGGCGCTGCCACTGGCCCCCGGCCCAGTGAAACAGCCAGCTGGGCAAGCAGCTTTGCAGAGCCCGACCAAGACAGCTCCAGGCCACTCTCGCAGAGCAGAGGAGTGATGCAGGCGCGGGAGCAGAACCCAAAGCCCAGATGCTGCGCAGGAGCAGCCGCTGGCCTGAATGGTGCGAGGAAAGCAGCTCCAGAGCACCTGGCCGGCGGCCGACCCTGCAGACACACCTGTCCACAGGGCGAGAGGAATGGGGCACACGCCTCAAGCGGGCAGGGGGATGTTGCATGTGGGTCGCAGCCATTCCCCCAAAGCTGGGGCGGCTGCCAGGGGCTCCCCGGTCGAGGCCCTCAGTGCCCCCAGGGGAACACAGCCGGGGCACAGCCGCACTGATCGTCCACCGGTGGGAGCCGAACAGGGACCACTGCTCGGTCCCACCTAAGGAAGGGGGGAGCCCCCCCAACCGCAGGGTAGAGGGAAGCTGTAGCCACGCCGGGAAGAAAAGGGGATTCACGCGCAGCCGGCTCCACACCCAGCCGAGGAACGCCCTCCACGCCACATGATCCCTGGCGCTTGCGGCTTTGGGGGAAGCAGTCCAAGGGCAGGACGGAAGAAATGACACACGGAGCGTTCCTCCCAGGTACGGGAGCTGCGGCAGGGAAGGAGCCAGGAAAGCAAGCGGCGAGGGGGGACCGGCCACGTCAGCTCTGCAGCTGCCGGGAGGCGCACACCCGTCTGCCGCGCGGGTCACGGCCTCTCCGGGAACTTCAAAAGCCACTGGCGCAGGAGCACTCCGCCAGGCCCCCTTCCCAGCCGCTGGCTCATTTCCGCAGCCGTCCCCGGTGACATCAGCCTCCACCGGGACCTTCCGCCAGAGCGGGCGCAGCCGCCCGGCCTGTGCGCCACTCCCCCCGAGGGCCCCTGCGCACGCGGCCAACGGCCTGGGGAGCCGGCCCTGCTGCCCGGCTCAGGCCTCCCGCCCCAGAAGGTTCCAAAGGCGCAGCCCGCAGGGACCGGGAGAGGCCGGCACGGCGTGTCCCCGGCCAGGGACCAGGCGCGCATGGCCGGCCAGCAGGCAGGCCTCTTCCCCAGTTCGAGCGGGCCAGACCGGGGCCGAAAACGGCACAGGCAGGACCGACGGCCGGCCCGACGGCGGGTCACGAGCCCGGAGCAGAGGCTGAGAAGGCGCAGCCTTGGCCAGCAGCTCTGCCCGTCCTCGTTGGCCGCGCAGGCTGCCGCCCCTCCCGTGGCTTCTTCCTGCCCGCAGCATTCCTGGATTTGGTGTGGGGGGGCGAAGGAGGGCAGCGGAAGCCCGCAGCCACTCATCCCACTCCGCTGGGGAGGGAAGCCTGGGAGCCGAGGCAGCTATAAATAGGCTCCCCAAATGTGGGCCGGCTCCCTTCCCCGCTTCCCACGGCCTCCTTGGGAACGGGATGCTGCCGGCTTCCCCCCAGCCTGAGGGGCGCTTGGCTGCAAGGGTGGGAGCCAGGTACCCCCGGGGTGACCTCAGCGTGAGAGAGGTGGGGGAGAGCGAGGCCAGCCACCCAGCGCGCGGCCGGCACCCCCCCCACACGCACACGCCCCTGCCTGGCTCCAGAGCAGCGGGGAAGGCCAGGCGGAGCGGCCTCTTCCGCCCGGGGAAGGGAGGTGGTCCATGGACACAGGCCTCCTCCAGGCGGTCGCCACACGCCGGCCAGCAAGGCCGCAGCGGGCAGACTGGGCGGGCGGTCAGCCCCGGGGCCGGGTGCCCCCAGGGAGCGCCCACACAGACCGGGTGGCGACAAGCACAGGCCGGGTCCACCCCATATAGCCATTCCAAGGCACTGCCGCATCCCAGAAAGCGCTCGCCACCACCATCCCCCCGCCGACGCTCCTCCCCAGCTCTACCCCACCTCCTTGCTTTATTCTCACACCGACCCTGTAAAGTAGGCCAAGCAGAGAGACCGACTAGCCAAAGGAACCCAGTAAGCTTTGCGGCTGAGCGGAGGGTGGCGTTTGAGGCTGCAGGCAAAATCCAGCACATCCGCTGCTATGTGCCCTTTGCCTTCCGCATGCGTTGGACTTCAGTGCCCATCATCCCCAGCCAGCAGGGTCAGTGGCCAGGACCGTGGGCGCTGCCGTCCAAAACATCTGCCAGAAGGCCGCGCCGGCCTCCGCCGTGCCAAGTGAAGAAGCGCGCCCTGCCCGGCCTCCGCCCGGTGACTCACGAGGAGGCTGCTTCGCCCTGCAGCAGCCGCGTGCTCAGCAGAGCCTTGGCCATGGGGAGAACGCCTGCCAGCCCCCCACCAGCACCCCCGCTGTCCCCCACTTCAGTTCCCCCTGCGAGGAAGCAAGTACCTGGCAGGCTGCGGCCTGGGCGCGAGGATCGAAGATGCGCAGCTTCTTATCCTGCGGAGAGAAGGAGGGGCCCCGGGGAGTTAGCAGGCCTGGACATGGCCCCGGGCAGCGCCCCGTCCCCACCGCCCTGCGCCCCTCCTGCTCCCTTGCCCTTGGGCGCCCCCTGCCAGGCACCGAGGCCCATGGGCACCGCTGGGGCGGGCCAAGCCCTCGACCCGGCAGGCTCAGACGGTGGTCCGTGCACCCCGGGCCAGAGCAGAGGCGCCTGCGGAGGGGCGCGGGGCGCACGGCCCACCGGCCCAGGGCGCTCCTGGCCACCTGCAGATGAGGCTGCGCGAGGCCTGGGGCAGCGGCCAGGGCAGGTGGCCAGAGGAAGCCCGGCTGCATGGTGCGCGGCCCGGCCGGCGCTCGCTCGGAGGAGCCAGGCGCGGATTGGTGCGCCCGCAGCGCCGCCCAGTGCCCGCTGGAGGAACAGGCGCAGCCCCGCAGAGGCAGGAAAGGCTGGGGCTCCGCAGAGGCAGAGCGGGGCACGCTTTCGAGGAGGCCCCCGGCCTTCCCGCCAATTGCACGGCACGGACTGCTCCAGCGGCCCCGTCCGGCAACAGACCCTCAGTGAGGTCGAGCTGCGCCACAGCCGGGCAGCTGCTATTTCAGAGCCCGCAGAGTCCCCGGAAGCACCTGGGGGCCCCCGCTCACCTGACACAGGAGCTTGTGCTGCCTGCCGGCACCCTCGGCCATGCACACACGGCTCGGCCCCCTGTGCCACCCACCTTGCAAGAGGTACCCAGGAGGGAACCGTCCGGTTGCCAGGCGAGACTCTGGACCTGCTCCTCGTGGCTCTCCAGTTCTGCAGGAAACGACAAAGCGAGTGTCGCCCTGAATAATTGCGCTGTGCTGCGATTGCCCTGGCAGGGTCCAATCAGGCCAAACGTCTCCAGCCAAGCAGATCTACTGCTGCCCAGAGGCCTAAGCAAGGAGGAGTCGCCCCAATTCATCTGGGAAGGGGGATGAACGATCCCCAATCAGCAGGTCAAAACCGAGAGAGTCTTCTGGCAACTCCAACCAGGCTTGTGGGAAGGGACCAGAAAAGGGATACTCTAATGGAGAATTTGGGCCTTTCCTTCTTACACTGTTGGTTTTACTGTGATTTTACCTGCGATCTTTCATTGCAATTGTAAAATGCCTAACATTTTTCTTTAACAAGACAAGCAAAGATTTAAGCTACTAATAAATATTGTAAGTGTGTGTGTGTGTGTGTGTGTGTGCGCGCGCGCGCGCGCGCAACTTTCAAGGCTGCATTATTCCAGCTGAGCACTGGCTGGACCAAAATGTGCACACAGAGCAGAGCGGAGCAAGCCTTCGGGCTGCACATAATCCCTCCTGTGGAGAGTAGGGAGTCCTGTGCGACTCCAAAACTCGCTCGGATGCGTCCAGCTGAAAACTGCAAGCGCCTTAGCCTTGGAGGAAGCAAGCAGCACACAGGACGGACTGTGCGGGGACAATGTCTGTTTTGTGCCGGGAAGGGGGAATGGTAATTCTACCCCCCGCCGCCTTCCACACTTGAAGTTGCCGAGCTCCGCCGAGCGCTCACAGACCTCGTGACGGGTTGCTACGCGACGGGCCTCTTCGCGGTTCGCGTTTCCTGCCTGTGCTGGGCCTGGCGCGCCTCGCTGGCTTCCCCTTTCGCTGCGCTTGCCAGCGCCGCTCCCCCCCCCAGTCTCACCTGACCCGAGGGGCCGCCGGCGACCCATCCGGGGCATGTCCCCACAAAGCCCCTCCAGGTGCAGCCCGGCGGACACGCAGAGGGGAGCACGGCTACCGTTTACTCCCGGCCGCAGCCTGGAGACGTTGCAGGCCGTCGGCAAGCACCCTCCCGCCTCACGTGTCCGGCTGGTGGTCCTGCGGCCTCGGAAACAAAGCGCCAGCCGTTCCCCCCACGGCAGGCTGGCCAGGAGCAGGCCCAGTCTCCCCGCATCCGGAATTCTGCTTCCCAAGCTTCCTGGTCTCCCACTCAAGAGGGCCTGGGGAGCAGCCATGGCCAACCCATGGAAGTAATTTCCGCCCTGCACCCCGGACGCTTTCTCACACTTCCAGCTGTGCCCACATCCCGAAGGGTCGCCCACCTCTGGAGGAAACGATGCTGGGCCAGGAACCAGGCCCCTCACGCCACCCTTCCTCTTCCCAGAGGCGCAACCGCTGCCAGAAGTGCCCTGGGGCCTTCTTCCAGCTGCCTTTTCAACTCAAGGCGCCGACAGCCCCCCGCAACCCGAGGGCTTACCTGCCAGGGTCCGGCGCTGCTCCACGTCCCAAACCTTCACTGCCCTCTGAGCCCCGCTGGCCAGGACGCCGTCGGCCGTGGGGTGGAAGAGGAGCACGTCCACCGGGCCCTTCTCAGGCCCCAAGGCCACGTGAGGGGAAGACGTCAGGTCTGGGCCAGGACCAAGGAGGCGCCACACCTTCACCTGCAGGCCGGCAAACACACAGCACTAAGGGCTCGGAGCCCACACCTGCTCACGCCCCTGCGGGGCACTCCGGACCACCCACGCGTGCGGGAGGTCTGCCCCCGGCTCCCTCCGGGGCAGGGACACGAGGGACTGGCTGCTCGAGGCTCTTGGCCTCCGAACACAGGCAGCCTCATGCCGAGGGAGCAAGGCCCGGGCAAAGGCTCGGGAGGGAGCCCCTGCCCCGGGCCCCAGCGCTGGGGGCCTCTGAGACGGTGAGCGCCTAGGGCTACCCCACCAGAAGCCCTGCACAGCTCTCCCGCATCCCCTGCTTGAGAGCCCTTTCCCGCTGAGAAAAGGCCAGGGGGCGGCGGGAAAGCTGCAACTGGAAGATGGCGGTGCCTGGAACGAGGCCCGCCAGCGGGACTGCAGGAGCGAGGCAGGACGGCCGAAGCAGGGCGCCAGCCGCAGCCCACGGCACCTCCAGTAACCCCTCACGGGACCACGTGCAGCGCAGCGCAGCTCACAAACCGCATCGGTGTACGCAGGCACCTCTCAGGGAGCGCTGCCCATAATTCGCGAGAGTGCGGGCAGCCAGCCCTTCGTGGGCGAGGTGCCCAGCGCAGGTGCTGAGAAGGGGCAGCAGGGCCCCACAGAGGTGGGGCTGCAGCCAGAGCAAATGCCAGGCTCTCTGGGGCGGCCCCCCGGCTTGGCTGGCCAGCATCCACTTCCCTGCCCCTGTTGCATCGGAAGGCTCTGACCCGAGGCTGCTGACCTCCCGCCTGCAAGAGCCCACAGGCCAGCTGGGTAGTCGGGGGGGTGGGCAAGTGCGGGGGCACAAGCGGGGTGATCAGCCGTCTCGCCGGTCCAGCACCCACATCAGCACGGCGCTCGCTTGAGGCCAAAGCGCGCCGGGCCCAGCCTGCCTGTGTGCAGCGGGACATCTCACCCTCGGCCCTCCCTGCAGGATATCGTGGCTTGGAAAGACTTGCTGGAGTGGCCTGGCAGAGTCAGGCCTGGCTGGGGGGTGGCACGGCCCCCCTCGATAGCAACCTCTCTCTTACTCTCACGCCCCCATCCCAAATCCCATCCGGGCTCCGGCTGAGAGAGAGATCCAGACCCTTTCCGCAGCCTCCAGGTGGGAACTTCATTTTCCACTTACAACGTCATTGGTGGAGCCTGTTGCCAGGAGCTGATCGTCAAAGGGAGAAAAGTCAAAATCTGTCACGACATCTGAGCGAACGAGAGAGAGAGATTGTGTGAAAAAACCGACTGCGCTTATTCCTTTAAAAGCACGGCCACAGAGCACAGCCACCCCCCGTGCGCGGAGATGGCCTGAGCCCACGGCCGACTTTCTAGAGGTCGCTGCGCAGTGCAGGCGCAAGAGGGTACCTGAAAAGGACCCCACCTTGCTGCAGATCGGCGCCCAGGCCAGCCCCACAGAACAGACGGCATCTTAAAAGGGCAACAGGCTGGGCCCGCGGCCAGCCTCTTCGCCCGCTTTAAGAGAAGCGGGCTGGCAAGCCCCCAACACCCTCGGGCCATGGAGAGACCTGCTCCTTCGGCTGCAGAGAGCGCGGCTGCCACGCAGGGAGACCGCCAGCTGCACGCTGACTCACCTGGCAGGCATGCGCCCCGGGAACCGGGACCCGCTGCCCCGGCATGGAGCCCGCCCCCGGCTGGAGCGCCCCCGGCTGGGCACACCGCCGCAGTGGGGAGGGGGCGGGGAGTGCCTGCCCCGGGAACTGGCAGCCTTGCGGAGGCATCTGGCGCGCCCGGGAAAGTAGGTCGCGGCAGAATTTTCCATTCCACGGGCCTGCCGCTGCTCCGCACCCACGAGGCAGGAGGCGGCTCATTCCGGCTGCTCCGGAGCCGGCATCCTCACGAGCGCCCCGAGCAACAGTTGCCCAGCGACAGCCCTCTCGCCCCCAGGTGTTCAGCCAGAGCCAGGAGGGCGCCTGCCTTGGGTCTGCCCCTGAGCGTGTGTGTGTGTGTGGGGGGGTTAGTCTCGGCTCCGGTTCTGCAAGAGGCCCACGCAGAGGCCGACAGGCAGCCCTGTCCAAGCTGGCAATGAACGGGCCTTTGTCCGGCCTGCTGAACGCACAGTCGCACCCGGGGGGAGCGAGAGCGAGCGAGGGCTGCCGAGCCCCGAAGGATGCGCTCGGTTGCATGCTCCAGAACAGAGGCTCCAGCGGCTGCTGGCTCCATCAAGAGCACGGGAAGCAGCCTCGATTTCCCATGCAGCCTCCCAAGCTCACAGTGGCCCGGGCAGCCTGCGTCCCAGGTCGGGTCGGGGTGGAAGCACAGCTGCCTGGAAGCAGATGGCGGGCAAGGCCAGAGCTGGGGGGCAAAGATTCTGCGGGCACCACCGCGCCGCTCCCTGGAATGCCAGTGGGCCGCCACAGGGAGGCCGCTGCCGCTTGGGGGAACAAGGCAACCGGCTGAGTGGAAATGCAGCTTTTGCTGTCTGGATCCTGGGCTGACCTGGATTCAGCTGGAAAAAAGGGACCGCTGGCTGAGCAGGGAGTCCCGCCGTTCTCCCAGGGGCAAACCCAGCAGCCACAGCAATGGCAGCAGGAACCCACCACAAGGAACCGTGAGGAGACAAACAGGCTTGTCGCAAGCAAAGCATCAGTAAAACCAGAAAGTGGCCGTTGCACTGATTCCGGACACGCTCCTCCTCTTTGCCAGGCTTCCAGCACCCAAAACTTGCCTCCTCGTGTATCTCTGCTCACAAGAAACCCTGGCACTCCCGCTGCACTTCCCAAGTCCACCCGCTCACCTACCCCAGACCCTCTAAGCATGGGGGGGGGGGGGCTGGCCTCACCTGAGTGGCAACAGAGCTGTGAAATGGCGCTCTTGGCCCTCTTCTGGCTGCTCAGCGGCACGACACCCAGCACACCTGGAAGAGGAAGAGGGCACGTGGGTCACAGGATGCCTCCCGCCGGGACAGCCCCTTCGTGCGAGCTGCACAGAAGTGGGCCTGCACTCTGGGAGGCCGGCCAGACGGGTCGACCTCTACCCACCCGGGGAGACCGGAGAGGAGAGTGAGCGCCTGCAGTGCACCTGCGATGCCGGTGGCAGGGGCCCCAGGACCCCCGGACAAGGTCCTGCCGCACGCGGGCCCTCGGCAGACTCCTGATTGCACCCTCCCCCTGGTGCTGGCCCTGGGCACGCGCGCCCGGCCCCAGCATGTCCGGCTGGGCCAAGGGACCTGCAGGATCATCCCTAAAAGCCCCCAAAGGAGGAGGCCACGAGGCAGGAGGCAAGCACTGCAGAGGCAGTGTGGCCGGCAGCACCCCCCCCCCCCCGCTCCGCCTGGTCTCCTGCTGCCCTTCCACGGCCTCACGGGGATCCACCCTGCGGATCAGCTGGCAGGGTGCCTCCCCAGGAGCACTTCTCCCCCTGCAGGGGACCAGAGAGAGCCGGGAGAAGAGCCAGCTTGCCGGGCCCCCGGCCACGCCCCCTGCCTGTGGGGCTGTCCGGAGCACAGCCGGCTGCACCCAGGATCGTGCCGCTGTGGAGATGCTCCCTCGCCGGGCCTGGGCAAAGTGCACCCTGCAGCCCTGCCCGTCGTGATTCCTGGACCCACCCCGCCCGGGGCATGACGGGGCCAGTCCAGGGGCCCTGCCGGTGCCTCACCTGCTGACTCCGTGTGGAATGCAACCCAGCAGCAGCTGGCCTTGATGTGGTTTCCCAGCCCGGGCGGGCAGCCTCCTCGAATGCCCCCAATCCAGGCCTGAGACACAGAGAGGGAAGGACGCAGAGGGGAGGCGGTTCATCCTCTGCAGGGCAGACAACAGCAGCCCCCCGCTGCATGGGGGCCAGAGGGCAGCTCCGTATTCCCCCCAGGAGCTCACACCGGCACCGGGGAAGACAAGCAGGGACACCCCAGAGCTCCTCCTGCAGGTGCCACCGAGCAGGGCTGGGGTCTCCGTCTGAGGGCGGCTGGGGCAGGTCTGGGGCACTCAGGGGCAAGAAGAGAAGGCGTGCGACTCTAAGCCCACTCTCGGTGGGCCTGCTCCGCACGCGCTGAGCTCCAGATCCAGGCTGGGGCACCCTGGGGCCGGTGGCACACGGGTCTCAGGTTCAAGCCGGGCCCCTCCGTGGGGGTCATGGGGCGGCCCGGACCAAGGCCCTCGCCTGGGGAGGCCCGCGCAGGAGGCTGTGGCGAACGCCAGGCCGCCCGGGGCCGAGAGTCCAGCCGGGCAAGGCCCTCCAGCTGCGGAACGCACAGCCCGGGCGCCTCCTGGCCCTAGTCGCTCGGGGCCCCGCAGCCCTGGGTGTGCTCGGAGGGCCGCCAGCCCGCCCCTCTCCCTGCAGGCCCCTCAGCCTCCACGAAGGGCGGCCGCAGCCCCCCGCGCCTGCAGGCCCGGGGCCGGGAGGGCCGCTCAGCCCCACGCCCGGCGCCTCCCTCAGCGCGAGGGCAGGGGCGGCGGCGGGGTCCTGAGGCGGAAGGCGCTCGCACGCCCGAGCATCCCGGGCAGCTCCCGCGCCGCCCACGGCGCCGAGCAGGAGGGAAGGCTCGGCGCGGCGGAAGCGCTCCTGCCCACGAGGCGCGCCCGGCAGCAGGGCGGCGGCGGCCTTGCGCAAGCCGCGCCCGGCTGCTTGCTCGGGCGCGGGGCGAAGACGAGCCGGCGAAAGGCTGCGGGGCGGCGCGAACGGGCCACGAGCCCCGCGCCGCCCCCGCCC